ACTGGGTAAATATTTAATATGCATATTTATTTTATTCTTGCTGATTCTTGAAACCTTTTTTTGCTTAAATTTTCTGCGTCTTCACGTTTGTGCAGAGGAAATAGCAAAATGTTGTCCAACCCATGGGATTTTTAACTTCATGCCAACTTTTAAGAATCCGTCCAGAGGACTTGACTTAACCCAGTTAGATAAATGCCAACTTCTTCTTCTTTCAGGTTTTCTCTCTTCAGGTGTCTCCACATCGAGTCCTCCTCCATCTCACCCTGTCCTCTGTCCTTACTCCAACTACCTCCATGTCCTCTCTAACTGCATCCATATGTCTCCTCTTTGTCTTTTTCCTGCAGCTGCATTTCTAACATCCTTCTACCATTATACCCACTGTCCCTCCTCTGGACATGTCCAAACCACTGTCCCTCCTCTGGACATGTCCAAACCACTGTCCCTCCTCTGGACATGTCTAAACCACTGTTCCTCCTCTGGACATGTCCAAACCACTGTCCCTCCTCTGGGCATGTCCAAACCACTGTCCCTCCTCTGGACATGTCCAAACCACTGTCCCTCTGGACATGTCCAAACCACAGTCCCTCCTCTGTATGTGTCTAAATGACTGTCACTCCTCTGGACATGTCCCAACCCATCTCAGTGTGTCCTCTCTAACTTTATCTCCCAGTTGTTCAACCTGTGCTGTACCTCTGATGATCTCATTCCTGATCTTCTCCATCCTTGTCTCTCCTAAGAAGAACCTCAACATCTTCAGCTCTGACACTTCCAGTTCTGTCTCCTGTCTTTTTGTCCATGTCTCTGTCTCCAGACCATACAACATAGCTGATCTCACCACTGTCTTGTAAACTTTTCCTTTGACCTTTGCTGACACCCTTTTGTCACAAATCACTCCTGAAACTTTTCTCCATCACTCCATCCTGCCTGGACTCTCTTCTTCACCTCTTTACCACACTCCCCATGTTCCTGGACAGTGGACCCCAAGTCCTTGAAGTCCTGCACCTTGTCACTGTTCCACCTCCTACTCTGTCTTGGACTTAAATTCCAGCCTTAAATATTTTGTATGTGTAAAAAAAGGTATTTGGGGGGGGGGGGGGGGGGGGGGATCACAAGTTACAAAACTTTTTTATGATGTTCTGTTTACGGATACGAATCCAAAACTACGTGTACTAGTTTTTGTCCTGGATTTTCCTCCTCTCCGCTGATTGGTCAATGTCATGTCACTCACAAATTAAGGATCCAGTCAGAACAGATGGGTTTGGCTGTAGACGCCTCAGTGAGCTGACGGGTCGTCAGCGCGTCCACCATATTGAATGTGGCAGACCTGCAGGTCACCTAACAAGGAAATGGACTGAATTTCATAAAGCACCATTCTACACAGTGTTTGAAGTTAATCCTCGTCATTCATATGCACTAATATATTTGGAAAACAAACAGGCACGAAAGATGCTAACTTTTAACGCGATTATTAAAAATGTTTACTCCTTAAATGTTTAGGTTTAAAGGTAAACACTAAACAAACATTTATTCTTTTGAGTGATTACAACTACTAACACATGTAATACTATTACTGTGGTGATTAATATAGAAATATTCATATTCAAATACAAATCTTTTCTACAAGGTCACAAATCTGTTTTTACATCTGCAAAATATTTAAGACTGGAATTTGAGCCCATATACTATGGCTGACTTTCATTCCTCTTCTTTCAAGTGCATACCGCCACCTCTCCAAGTTCTCTTCCACCTGTCCCCTGTTCTCACCACAGATCACAATGTCATCTGCAAACATCATCGTCCACGGGGATTCCTGCCTGACCTCATCATAGTGGGAGTGGTGGCGCAGAGGTTAGAAGATGGGCCTGTGATCAGAAAGTCGCAGGGGCAACTCCTGGTACCGTCAACATCAAAATTTGGGTGGAAATGGTGGAACACCCACACCTCCCTCCACCCTCACTCTGGGCCCCTGAGCAAGGCCCTTAACACCCACCATCTGCTCCCTAAAACAGGTCTCTCTTGAAAATGAGTTCTCGTGGCTCAATAAGACTACCTGGATAAATAAAGGGTAAATGGAAATAAATGAAAAATCTGTTTGTCAGTCCATCACCAGAGCAAACAAGAAGGGGCTCAGAGTTGATCCTTGATGCACTCCCACCTCCATTAATGCTAACATCTTACTTAAAGGGATGGTTCTGAATGTTTTACGTGGGTTTCCATGAAAAAGTAAAGAATAAGTCACTTTTTTTTTGTTTGTAGATATATCTGGTTAATTTGACACACAAAAGGTACAGACTGAAATGAGCTGTAGCATATTTGGGGTTTACCAACGGCACTTTTTGTACAAATTTCCTAATACATATTAACTAATATTTTATTTTTGTACTAAAATATCCATATAATGTAAAATTATCTTTGGTGTAAGGGTTTATATATGGTTGTCTGAACTGCCATGAAATTTCCAAGCTGTTTGAGGACAGGAAATTTAGCACTGGTAGTAGGTTCACTCAGACCATGCTGATAGACCATGCTCCCTCTCGGTTTTCAAGTCCCGTTTAAAAACTCAATACTATTCAGTAGCTTTCAACACCAGATGATCTGTGTTTGAACCTGTACGCTCCACACTGGTTTGTCGTCATTATCTGCATCATTTTTATATCTATATTCTGATTTACTTCATTTTGTATTTTGCTTTGTGTGTTACCTGTTGTTCTGTCTGTACAGCACTTTGGTTGGCCTTGTAGCTGTTTTAAGTGCTCTATAAATAAAATGGTATGGTGTGGTATAAACTATAAAGACAAAACTGGCTAATCCCAGTGACACCATGTCTAAGCTGGATTGCCTTCTTAAAACAGTTTTAATCTTCCAACTTTAATAATGTTTCATACAAAATCTGTTTTATAAACCTTTACATCACCATCAGCTTTACATTGTATGATTGTTTTGACAGATTCCAGTATATCTCAATGAAATCTTTCCTGGAAGTGCTACAACTTTCTGTCGTTGACACCATTTACTCTCAAGTTTCTCTACAATTCATAAATAACAATGTTACAGTTTTTCTCAATACTCTCAGAACTCTACGCACAGATAAGAAAACATGCACACAATGGGCAAAACCCTTCAATTCTTCCGCAAACTGAAACTTTACATCCAAACAATGTTCTCTCCTCAAAATGGAGTTTTGTTCTCAGATGACGCACACAAACCATCGTATGAGTGGACATTTATTAGAACCAGTTAAACACTGATGTGCTCAACCCAAAACACTATGAAGAGTGGAAAACATTTCTCCATTCAGCAGAATGACTTGGGGCTTTTTTTTGGTTCAGTGTTACACTTACTCCAGACACTTCTAGTGGACTAGGCCTATGTCAAAACTGACCAGATGGACAGAGACTGTTATTTCATTGATCTGCATCCAGAAATACAGTTTGAGCCATCTGGAGACTTTCTTTCTTGAATTAATCAAGTAGAAAAGACAATTCTCTATGATCATTACTATTTTACAATTGTTTGATAATCAAATTGTGTTAGTTCACTCAATGTTTACAGGTTGAAGAGAACTACTCATTTTATTTACATAAACAGTAAGTAATGATTTTTATTCCTCATTCAAAGAAGAAATCAGGTTAATATGCATTTCTTGATTTTTCTGTCTTCAATGAGCAAATTTGTAAGTATGTTAAAGTTCAGGCTTCGGTCAACTAAAATGTTTACTGAGAAGAAATGTCATGTTTAATCTTTACAGCAGATAATCAGAGTAGAGGCTCCACGAAGTCTCGTTTTCTCCAATAATCTTTCTGTCTGTTTTAAACAATCTCATTCTCTGCCCTTGACTTTGATAACACCTTACATCACAAACCACACCTCTGATCTGGTCCATCCACCAATCAGAAAGCTCTAAAATGACCCGGAAGTCAACTCATTTAAATGTGGCAACTTCCCGGTTCTCGCCAGAGTAAAAGAGTTAAAGAGTTGAGAGTTAAAGGGTTACAAAGAATTGCAGTTCTCATGGAGAAGAGAGATGAAAAGCTCTCTGATGCAGCTCATGGAGAAGAGTTCCAGAGTTTAACTCTCTGAAGAGAGTTAAAGAGTTCAGAGTTCTTGGATGCAAACGCATTCAAGAAGAACGCAGAGACGATCTTGGGAATTATAACTTCTGTTTGGATAACCTCGCACGACTCTCGAAGTATTTTAGCTGTTTTCAACGGAGACGCTGAAAGAGTCAAAGGAAGGATTCTATACCGACGCTGATCTATCATCAACCAGGTAACAGTTCTACTTGACCAAGCGTACCGTGACCAAGCTGAGATCTGAAGGAGCGTGCACATTTCTGGTCAAACAGATTAATTCCCTCACACATCTCTCTGTAAGATAAATCTCCATTTTCCATCTTAAACTCTCCTTTCTCCTAAAATCATTACAGATATTTTAGAAATATCTGAAGCAAAGTTCTCAATCACCGCCGTGTGATTGATGTCTGTTATTCTGCTGAGAAGTGAGGACAATCGCCGTATTGTCCACTTTCTGTGAACTTGCCATTGTTATTGTTTTCATATTTTGCCAAATTAATGTAAATGTTTGATGTTAAACTTTGATTCTGCAAATAAATGACCGCATTCATTTGATGGGTCAAAGATAAATAACGTCTCTCGTTCGCATTTCTGTTAAACTCAACGCACGACATTTACACAGTCAGAAAAATGAAGAACTCGTGAAAAATGTATGAATATATCCAGCATATGTCATACTACACACTAAATATGTGTGTTGTGTTGTAAAATATTTTAGAATATTGTTTTTACAGTCAGAATACACAAGTACACAGTAACAAGTATATTTTATTTTTCCCACACAATGTACACAGTGTACATCCCACCCAACACAAAGTTGCACATACAGTGGTCTAGATACAAAATAACAGAATAATTTACTGTATGCAATTAACGGTAAAATCAACACTATGCTGCATCCTGTCTTCTGTTTCGATCTGGCCACAGCCCCTCATCCACATCACAAGCAAGGTTTTCCCTGGCCAGCAGCAGGGGAAAGATCGCCTAGCGCGGTGAGTCCAGCCATGAAAAGCATCAACTGCTATATACATGCGTCTTCCTCCATAGCTTGGAGAAGGGGTACCAGCATGAAGGGAACATCACAATGTATGCAGTGATTACCCACCACGGCGTCATCCACCACCATGCTACCCTTGGCCCCTCCAACACTGCCCATCTGATCATATTCCTGGACACACTACACAACACACTCCTTCCACCAGATCAGATAGATGGCCCAGAGCAGCTCAGGTACGTTGTCATTTGGGACAATGTAAGTTTCCACTGGGCTGCTCTGGTTCATAACTGGTTCACTGCTCACCCACGCTGTTCAGTTGTTTATCTCCCTCCATCTTCTCCATTCCACAATCCTATTGAGACATTTTTTTCTGCCTGAAGACAGAAAGTGTATGACCTAAATTCACAAACGCGTATACTGGCCAGAGACTTCAACAATGGCACGCTGGCCGATGATATTCCTTCCCCTCCATCTTTTTGAGAGGTTGAATTCAACCTCGTCAATGAAGATGAACTGGCGCTCCACTGCAGCCACCTCTAGCTCAAGGACGTTCTGAAACACTTGACCATATCAGAAATAGAGTAGGAGTGGTCACTATTGTGAAGCACAAGCATGATTACAATACTGAAATATGTATAATTTATACAGTGTTGAGTATGCACCAGTTGTGGGATTGTAGACGACTTCTACAATTTGGCTGCTCAAGGTGGCTGCATGTCAGAGCAGCTCTGTTACTTTCATTCTGAGATGTTGCTTTTGAAAACTTTAATTCCTCTTTTTTCTGCATGCACATTGTTTTTTTATGTTAATTTCATCTGGTATCAGATACTGTGCAGCTGGAATGATTTTTACTGGAACCTTTTTACTTTGGCTTTTGTTAAGATTCGTAACCATGGCAACAAGGTGTTTTTTACGACTGGGAGCAGCTGAGTAACATCTGAAAAGCTCAAATAATATCTCAACTACAGCCCCAAATCCACGAGGAAAAGTATAAATACCTTGAGGTTCACCTGGACAACAGACTGGACTTGAGATGCAGAGATGGAGCTGTCTACAAGAAGGGACAGAGCAGACTACTTCTTGAGGAAGCTGAAGTCCTTCAACGTTTGCAGCAAGATGCTGCATATCTTCTATAATTCTGTTGTAGAGAGCGCTGTCTCTTCTGCCATCATCTGCTGGGGGAGCAGCACCAGAGCAAGAGACTTAAAAAAAATCAACAAGCTCATAAAGAAGGCTGGCTCAGTTCTGGGGACTCTTCTAGAACCTTTGGAGATGATTGTACAAAGAAGGATTCTTCATCAAATGAAGAACATTATAGACAACCCTCAGCATCCTCTTCATCAGACTGTCATACAACAATAGAGTGTCTTCAGTCAGAGGCTTCTTCAAATCTGTTGTAGGACAGACGCTACAAGAGATCCTTCCTGCCCACAGCCATCAGCATCTAGAACAACTCTTTAATGAAACCAGGATGATGAGTTACAACATTTAATTTCCCTCTGGGATTAATAAAGTATTTTTGAATGGAATTTGACTTCCTTGCAGCTAGTTGTATCGCAGTTCTTTGACTTTATGAATCGTGTTCAAGTGACACCCTGTAGACATGCTTCATCCTCAGATTATGTCCGTGCAAGACACGGTGCAGCGTTGATAGGCTTACCTTATCAGTAGTTTGAAATATCTCATTGTTCTATTTCATATAGGCTTTGCCCTTTAAGCTATCACTAGAGAGTTTATCCCTACGCGCTCAGCACTGAAAACTTTAGTCCACGTCCAACTGCTGTGTGGGCCTTACCCCCGGTCCGTATAAATTACGGTGAGACCAGGTAATCGGCTCCCATTTTTTCTTCAACCAGTTAGCTAACACTGTCAGAAGAACGAAGAAGGAAAAGTTGTCCAGCTCTGACCAGCACAACCTTTGCTAAGGCTGCCTGGGTCTCCGCCACGCCAACCTCCTGCCATTCCGGTGAGCTCTTCTCCCCGAGGAGAAGCGGAGACTAGCAGCCTTGTTCAAGGTAAGCGCAGAGGAGTGCTTTTTCGTAGTGGGCGCTGCCCGCTGGACGACGCCACCGCCTTTTCTAGCGTGTTTTTTTTCTCGAGGTGAATCGGATGATTCCCTCGAAAAAGGCGTTGTTGGCAGCAGCGCCGCTGAGTGTTTTTCTGTGGGGGTACGCTATGCGCAGGACGACGCCACCGCCTTCTTTGACGCAGAGTCACGCAGTGAATCGAATGATTCCTCCGAGAAAGGCAATGCGGAGCTGCCCCCTCCCTCCTGGAGAACATAGTGACAGAAGACGAGCGGCCGAGCGGATGCTCAGCCACCTCGGATGGTCCCACGTCGGCGACCACACAGCTCCCAGCCGTCAGCGCCCTCCTCTCGGAGCTGCCCGGCATAATCCAGGAAGATGTTAACACAAGGGACTTTCCGTCCCTCGCCTCCCTCTGCCCTGATCGGATGATCTGGCGACAAGGTTGGCTCAATCCCTGCTCGTCGCCTGACCCCATCTGGCCTCGCTATCCAGCTGTGACGTCACACTGGAATGAGGCTGCAGCTGGGCCCGGCAAGCTGAAGACATCCGTCTCTACCTTCGCCTCCATCTCCAGATTGGAGGGTTTTACTGATCGGTATTTTTCCCTCAGTCCTTCCCCCCCGGAGCCAAGCCTGGTGGTGGCACTTGGGGCAAAAGCTTCCAGTATGGACCAGCAACCTGGCCCTCCTGGGAAGCATGACCAGATGGTGACAAGGTCTCCAACCGAGCTCACCAGTGCTCATTCCAGACAACCGCAGCGTCGCCCTGTTGGCCTACAGTATCTCTAAAAGCCTGGAAGAAGCAGACCTGCTGGAGGAGACAAAGAGCTCTCTTTGTAAAGCTGCTGATGTCATCTTAAACATGTGACACCTCTGCGGTCTGCCTGTCCCGCATCGCCGCCTGGATGACCATGATCCAGAGGACCACTTGGCTCACTTTCATTTTCATGAAAATTGTGTGTAGTGTTTTGACAAAAGTGGTTTTAGTGCAGTTTGAGAGGAAAGCAGGAATTGTGCTTGTAGTTTAGCAGAATTGGTTCAGGGGGTTGGTGCATGAGGTACATATGTCTCAAGTGTGGTAGTGTTTGTGTAAACATTTGAGGAAAACTAATAAAAAATGATGTCAGTGTAAAGGTTTTTGAAATAGATTTCACATGAACTGTAATAACACCCCCCTGAATATAAGAGGATCTGCGGTGGAAGTGGTCTCCAGCTACAAGTACTTGGGTGTACACATGAATGACAACCTCAGCTGGAGCAACAACACCACCAGCCTGATCAAGAAAGCTCATCAGAGACTCTACTTCCTCAGACGGCTGAGGCGAGCTGGTCTGGGAAGCTCAGTCCTCACCTCCTTCTACAGGTGTGCAGTGGAGAGCATCCTGTGCTCCAGCATCAACGTGTGGCATGGAGGCTGCACAGCTGCAGAAAGAAAAGCTTTGCAGAGAGTGGTGAAGGCTGCACAGAAGATGTTGGAGTCAGTCTCCCCACCATCACAGACATCTACACCTCCAGATGCAGGAAGAGGGCCACCTGCATCATGAAGGACCCCACTCACCCAGCACACACACTTTTTGCCCCACTCCCCTCAGGAAGGAGGTTAAGAAGCATTAAATGTAGAACCACTAGACTGAGGAACAGCTTCTACCCTGAGGCTGTTAGACTCATGAATCTCTAAATAATAAGGGTTCTAGAATAATCACTGTGAAAAACCATATCATGTTGCTGCTGATCTGTTTCAATGTTGATGTGTTCATGCGTGCACATCTACTCACAGACTCATGTTCATGTTTGTGCTGATGTTCAATGTTTTATGTTATGAGTGCTTAGTGTATATTTAGTTGATGTTTTTCTTAGTTCATATCTTAGATGTTATTACTGTTTTTTTTATACATTTTATTGTTGGATGTAACTGGGACCCCGTGTACATAATTTCGCTCCACCACATGTACCACATGAGGTGCGAATGACAATAAAGAAACTCTGACTCTGATAATGTCTTTGAGATTGCTGCGATATTAAAGCAGCTCTAATCCACTTCAGTCCTGGCTGCGTTGGGACCATCAGTCCTGACTGTAACCTCTGGTTCTTCAAACTGTACAGAGAGTTATCTGTAACAGGTAACATGCTAACTGTTCATAGCCTATCCACAGAACCCTGCTTCTGAATGTCTGTAGACTGTTCCAGTTCAACAATGTTCACTCAGGTCATCTGGACAGTTCCTTTTATTTGTTGAGACGTTTTTGCTTCATCAGTCTGAGGAGTCGCAAACTGTTTTCCCACTAAGCAGTACACTCCTACAGTGGACCAACCAGTTTGCTGCTGATAAGATGGTTTCTGGGGGATGTCCTCTCCCCTGTCGACTCCTCCCAGGCAACCACAGCCGAAGTGGTTCAAGACTTCAAAGTTCATGCTCAGTCATCCAGGTGAATAATCCAACAGCGTTCGGTGAGGAATTATTGAGCATGAACTTTGATGACTCTTTTCCATTAATCTAAGCTTGGCTTGTGTTGTTTTAGTATGAAACGTTGACAGTATTTAAGGCAGCGCTGACATGAACCAGGCTCAGACTATGGAAAGTACATGTCAGTGCTGCTAAATAATTTTCAAGGGATCAGGAGTTTTCAAGTCCTTGTTGTTTCACACGTCATGAATAATGATCAGCAGGACGTACAGTGGACTCCTCTGACTCGCACAGGAATCGTCTTGTCATCACTGGATTAAACTGTGAACCAATGAGTGGACCAGTGAGTGGACCTGTGAGTGGACCAGACCAGTGAGTGAACCTGTGAGTGGATCTGTGAGTGGACCAGTGAGTGAACCAGTGAGTGAACCAGTGAGTGGACCAATGAGTGGACCAGGTGAGTCATGCTGCTTTTTCTCACCTGTTGAGAACTGCCACTTTCTCTTTTTATCACGTCAGTTATTTCAAGTCATGGAAAAGGCATGTCTGTCTTTTCTGTACAGACTCCTGAGTCCAAGGAGAGAGTCCAAGGAGAACATCTGTTCTATCATCCTCTGCAATGTTTGGGTTTCTTTTATCGGCTTATCTCCCATGTTTCCACCTTTTGTGTCTCCTCTGGTTTATTCCCTTCTCATTGGCCGAATCACCAACTTATATTCAACCCACAGACATTTTCAAAATATCTGGGTATTCTTTTCAAAACTGGGACATGCCTGCGAGTATCAATAATCCCATCCATCGATTGCTGGGTTGCCAGCTGTTGCCAAATTCCTGCATGTTTCTGTTGTAAAGTTTGGCTCAGGAACGTGGTCCAGACAGTAAAACGTGTGGCAGGTCAGGGAACAATCAGTGCTGTCCGGGTTCATTTATGGCTGAAGTGCCCTTGAGCAAAGCTTCAAATGCACACAGTACTCTCAGCAGTATATTTACCAGTTGCTTGTTGCCAAGTGTGTGTGTGTGTGTGTGTGTGTGTGTGTGTGTGTGTGT